GTGTGCGTGTGTGTGTGTGTGCGTGTGTGTGTGTATGTGTGTGTGTGTGTGTGTGTGTGTGTGTGTACCGACCTACAAAAGCTACGGGGCTGAAATTTTGGGAACTTAATCTGCACGCATACACGGGCGTCCACCCCAAAATGGGCGCTCTTACCCGCGTGGTACCCACATACGGGCCTGCCAAAGTTTTCTACGGGCAAGCTGCTAACTCGGAAATCAGAGAATCTGGAAAGTTGGAATCTTAATGGGATGCTCCCCATCCAAGTATGTGTTAGTGAGGTTAAACCCAGTCCCCGGGAATGCGTGGTACTCACGTAGGAGGCGGTGAAAATTTTTTTCGAGTGAGTTGCTAGCTCAGAAACCTGAGAAGTTAGAAGACTGGAATTTTGAGGGTGTGTTCCCTGACAGTTCTGGCGGCCAGTCTTAATCTGTCTAGCTAGAAGCATTTGCCGGAAAAACAGGTGCCGGCAGCGACAAAAGCTGTGGGGAAATATGCAAGAAACGCGTCTTCGCACGGGCAGCCCATGCGTTGGCCAATTATTTATTAATGACCACTGATAAGCTCGCGGTAAGCACAGACAAAACAGAGCAAAATGAAAGGAGTGGGAATCATCAGTACAGCCACCTGCTAACCATCTATACGACGAGTATATATGATTTTTCAAGATTAGAGTGAAAAAAAGTAGAAATTAGAAAGCAAAAAAAGGAAAGGGATTGCTTTATTTAAGTGGTGGAATCGAATTTTCAATTTTTAGCACAGAAATGCCACCCCTGTACCAAATCCGCTTCCCAATTTTTCGAACCGTATTTTTTTTGCTTAAACAAAAAATGAACAGAAAATTTCACCGATAAAATTTCTGATAATAATTTCAGCAACGCATGTGCGAGAATTTTTTACGTGTGGCCGAACTTGTTCTGTCCTGGAATTTTGAAGAACATCGTTTTCCGATACGTATCTCATACGCCGATGAATCGTCACCAGCAGCTACACTTCGACCACCATATTCTTGGAAAGAAATCTTTCGCTCCGATAATTTTCTGTGTATTTTCTTCGAGGTTTTTCTTAATTTTCCTATTTTTGTTATTTACGAGCCGATTTGCCAACTTTTTTTTGAGGGGGTGGAATCCAGGTGCGCGAGTGAGAGGACTAATTTCTCTAGGTTTTGCTGTAAATTTAGTGGGATTTACTTTTTCCCTACATTTTTTGCGGATTTCGATTCCTTGGCTGTGGTGATTTCGCTAAGCAGTAGACGGGAATGATGGGAATCTTTGATGCCAGATTGGTACTCGTATAGC